TGTGATGAGTACTTACTTAGTTAACACAGAGCAAATAAATATGCAAATAGATATACTTTTCATACACGTACACGGCACTGCATACTAGATTTTGGAGAATATTTGTTCCTATTTTCATTTTAACAGTATTTGTATATACTATATAAACTATATGAAACTATAAACTACTATACACATACTATGTACTACATAAAACATAACAAACACTGTTTCATCAGAAGTGAAACATACAATGTTTAAGTTCATTGTGATCATGGGTAAACATTTAATAGTATGCTTCACTGAAAAGATGAAGTCAACATGCAAACAATGGTGAATATAATTGCTCCCTTTACTTCACTCACTAATTTAGGATTCATTTTCTGAATCATGAGCATGTGATCATGACATGAATGAAGGTTTCTTTTCCAGTAGAGTTCACCACTGGTTCTGAGAAAACTCTAAAACAATTCCCAAGTATTATTAATAACGGTATTTTACAACATGGCCACATACTGAAAAAGATACGGATCTCAAAGTCACCATTTTGAAGGAAACCACAGGTCTGGCATCCAGTACGCTGTGTTTTGTTTTGTTTTGAAACTTCACCTCTTTGCTCCAGAATTACAACTCACCTATCCTCTGGCGTACATCTGGTTCAAAACATCTACCCTTAGAGACTCACTGAGAGCCACCACCACACTGTCATCCTTTACCTTCAAATTCAAAGATCCCTAAATCCAACTTAAAGACAGAAACAAAACATATCTTTGCAGCGTGTCAGACAGCACCACTCACTCATACCGTGTGCAAAGCATTACTATGGGCTTGCAGAAAGATCCAACTGAAATCAGCCCCAAACTGAACAAAAAAGAGCTGAGCGCAGGGAACCACATCGGAGTAAATGGGGCAGAGCAGCGCTGTCAGGCTAAGTGGCTTCAGCACACACTAAGCGAAGTGGCGATGGATAGAAATAATCTAAACTCTCAGCAGCGAGGAAATTGTTAAATAAATCTGGGAGCATGACGACGCTGGAATGGATGCCTAGCCCAGGGTGAGGCAGAAAAATGGTATGTCCCGGCATGGGCTGATCTGTAAAATATAAACTTAGATGGAAGCAGAGCACTCTGGGACAATCTAATGTGAGTCATTTTTTCATGTTTTAACATTATGCTATGGAAATTTTAAACATACTAAATTAGAAATACCAGAAATAACAAATCTTCATGACCTATCTTTAGCAATTATTAGCTTATGAGCAATTCTTTGCTTTTTAATTCCTACCCCAACTATTTTGGAAAAATTCCATATACAATATTATCATTTATACTAGTATATTTATAACTATATGTTGTTATATTAGACCTATTTTGTGTTATATATTATACTCTCCTATATATTAGCATATTAGTATCTCTGAACAGTAAGAACTCTTCAAAATACCTTTAATAAAAAATTTGGGTAACTTTTAAAATTGAGTGATAGTTTTGTTTTGTTTTTTAAAAAGGGGGAGGCAGTATGGGAAAGACATGGAATCAACCCAAATGCCCAAAAGTAGATAACTGGACTAAAAAGATGTAAATATACACAATGGAATATTACTCAGCAATCAAAGAAGATAAACACATGCCTTTTGCAGCAACATGGATGGAGCTGGAAGGGATCATGCTTAGTGAAATAAACCAGAAAGAAAAGGAAAAATACTGGATAGTTTCACTTATAGCAGAAGCATAAAGGAGCAGGGGAGAAAATAATAATAATAATGATAATGATAATGAACAACTATATACCAGAGACATTTTACAGGGGTGGAGTGGGGAACGGGATCAAAAATGTGTGTGTGTGGGGGGGTGTGCACTGGACTATGGTGATGGCACATGGGTGATTTGGTGGTGGGAGGCCCACAGGGATTACAACTGAGATAGGAAAAGGCACAGATGATGTAAAAATAAACTATTATATTTTTTTAAAAAAGAAAAGCCGGGGAAGCAGTAATGGTTATCAAAGGGGAAGGAGGAGATGATAGGGGAGAATTCACTGCTCATTTGCAACCTTTCCATAAAATTTAAACATATTACGCATGAAATGCCACGCCAGAAAAGCCAGCAGAAAGGCTGCGACACAGAAGAGAACAGGTAGGTACTGAAAAAGGGAAGCAGAGCTTGGCTGAACGTGGTTTATAAAGATTCCAAAACTAGCAGGTCACAATGTCCATCAGCTATAGGATATGAATTCTCTAAATGGGCAAAAGTAATAGAGTTGTGAGTTCCGTGACATTACTAAACACAATTATGATCCAAGTAATATACAGGTCCAGACATTTATGAGGTGAAATGGTCTCATCACACGCTGAACTAGAAGGATGCTGAGGCACTGGTAGTAGAAAATACACATGCAAAATACACATTTGTAGACCTGTAACTCCCAAAGATATGATGATGTAAACCAGCTTCATCTCAATCAGCATCATTTGGGAAAAAATATTAACTTCCAAAATAAGTACTTAGGGCCTCCCTGGTGGCACAAGGTGTTAAGAACAACACTATGAAGCCATCACCAGCCACTACAGCATGAATTCAAGCCCCTGGTCTGGGAACTGACACACATGGTCCCGCACACTTCCTCTGTCTCGCCCGCTGCTCCCCTCAGCAGTGCGTTTCAGTCCATCTGCCTGTTCTGCTCCCCACTCTGTCTCTGGTGAATCCTCTCATTCCCCCCCTACCTGTCCCTCTAGCCTACACCCCAGCTCTTGTTTGCATAAATAAATAAACCTTTTTTTAAAAGAAGTAAATAAAGATATCAATGTAAAAATAGTAAGTACTGAGATTTTTCCAGCCCTTATGGAAAATAGTATGGAAGTTCCTCAAAATTTTTTCAATAGACCTAGTTTATGATCTGGCAATCCCACTCCTAGGTACCTATCTGAAAGACTCCAAAACAGTAATTCAAAGAGATATATGTGCTCCTATGTTCACTGCAACACTATTTACAAAGCCATGTTATGGAAACAACCTAAGTGCCCAAGGACAGGTGGATGAAGAAGCTATGGTGCATATATACACAATAAATGTTATCCAGCCATAAAAGAAGATGAAATCTTGCCATTTGCAACAATATAAATGTAGCTAGAGGGTGTTGTGCTAAGCAAAGTGAGTGAAAGGAGAAAGAAATAGTATATGACTTCATACATGTGGAACACAGAAAAACAAAAACAAAGGAACCTACAGAACTAAAACTACAAAAGGGGGAGAAGGAGTGGGAGCAAAGGCGGATGGGGGCCCAGTGACCATGACTGAGGACTGTGGGTGCTGTGGAGGGGGACATGGTCTGGTAACACCGTTCCCCCAAATCACACACAATGGTCTATAAAACATTGTTATCACAAAAAAATAAGATTTTTTAAAAAGGTACTAAGATTCTAAAAGGCACTTCAAAAAGCACATCCTTTCTTTATTTAATAGTTTATTTTACATCTTTTCCCATCTCAGTTGTAATCCCCGTGGGCTTCCCATCACCAAATCACCTGTGTGCCATCACCATAGTCCCATGCACTCCTCTCTCCCACCCCCTGGTCCTTCATACTCCTGCTGTGAGTGAAACCATCCGGTATTTCTCCTTTTTTTTCTGGCTTATTTCACTAAGCATGTTCCCTTCCAGCTCCATCCATGGTGCTGCATGTGTTTATCTTTTTGGTTGCTGAGTAATATTCCTTTGTATACATGTACCACATCTTTTTAATTCAGTCATCTACCTTTGGGCATCTGGCTTGGTTTCATGTCTTTCCTATTGTAAATAAAGCAGCAATAAACGTGGGGGTGCAGGTGTCTAAAAAACACTTCCTTTATTTTTTAAACAAATGAGTGTCTTAACATTTTCTTCTCTTATCTGTAGTTCTTATACTTTGTTCTGCCTTCTAGGTTGGAAAAATGTTATTTCCCTCCCTGCTGGTCCTACCTTTTCTATTTGCTCTATCTGTACCAAATGAAGTAATTCCTATGACCCACTAGAGTAGTTGCTGGGGTACATTAGAGAAATCAGCCATTGTGTAAGTGCTTATTTGCAATGAATTCAGGTTGAAAATGTTTGTCTGCTTCAGTTTGAGCATAAATAAGTCCTTCTAAGGGCATTAAAATAGCTGGTTCTCCTTTAATGGGAATATATGAAACTCCTGGGAATTGTTTTTCTTTTATTATTCTGCTTAACAAAATCCAGAATTTTTCAATCGTAGATAGATGCAGTTCACCTGAATTATAACTTCTGATCAGTCTACAGTCTACAGGAGCTATGAGAAGATAAGGTTAAAGGAAGCTGATATTTTGGACCTTATCACCACTTTATTCTTCTGAAAATCTGAAGATATTATGACTCGAGACAAAAGTCAAAAAAGATCATTGTAGTAAGAGTACTTAAAAACTTAAACTTCTGAACAGGCATTTTTAAAAATGCCACTTTCTTCCTTTCAAATTGTACTTGAACAAGGCTAATAAAATGTTCCTAGTAAAGGTCAAGTGGGAAATGTCTTTAATGAAAAGACTTTTAAACATTTAACTTTTCATCAGTTTGAGCATAAATAAGGGACCTTATTCTTTTGGGGACCTTAAAGTAGTTGGTTCTCTTTTAATGGGGTTACATCAAGCTCTCGGGAATTATATTCTTTTATTATTCTGCTTAACAAAACCCAGCAGTTTTCGATCATATACAGATACAGTTCACCTAAGCACTGGCAATTTAATTTCTCAGTTGATGATGTTTCACTGTTCTTAAGCACCAAGGACCTATTTCTTTTACAAAAATGCTTATCAGAACAAACAGTGTATGTAGGAGCCAAAATGAAAATAGCCTCGACAAATCTACTATTTTCCACACAAACTGCCCAATTTTACCCCAAGAACCTCATTCATTGTCTGAAAGTGGATTTGGGGCCAGTCTAGAGATTTTACCCATCCATAATGGACACCAAAAAAAAAAGTGCTACTTGAAGCTACACCACCTTTCCCGGGGGGTAAGTCAGGCAACCCCACCTTTCTCGGCGGTACCTGTTTCATCCGGGGAACTGGGTGAGGCACTATCTTGGGACAGCGTCGTCCAGCTGGACTCCTCATCGCTGGGCGCCAGGTTCTGGATCCGGTGTAGAGCACAGTCGGTTTTGGCCCCTGTTTTAGGGTGATCCTTCTTGGTCTCTGGACTGGATGACACTGTGGCTTCTTGGCCATCGTCAGGGCTGAACTGGGGTTTGTGTGGTTTCTGAAGCAGCAGGTCGCCGTTGCTGATGAGGGTGGTGGCCTGGCCTTGCCCTGCCTGGGACTTCTCTTCCACACCCCCATGGCTGATGCTTAAGTTCTGCTGGAGTTCTCTGGTTGAGGTTTCCAGGTCTGCATAGTAATTTAGAAAGCTCTTGGTTCTCCTAGGTTGGGAGGGCAAAATTTCACATCCCGAGGAGTCCTGAGGGGGTGGCTCTTTGCCCTCTAACTTCTCGGAAGTTATGTTGATGACAGCAGTGGGGCTGACGTTTTTGTTGGGGTCCTGCTGCCCTTGTTCCGCAGCCTTCCGGAGCTGGTTCTCCCCATTTTTCACCAACTTGATGTTGGTAGAGCCGTTTCCCGGAAGCGGCTGCGCGGCTGGATCCGAGAGGCCCATGGCCGCCTGGATGCTAGTCAGTGCATATTTTTTTCTGCATTTGGGGGGCGTGCTGTTCTTGCTCTCTGTGTGTTTGATTTCAGCATTCAAAAGTTCATTATGGGAGGAGCGGAGATTAAGGGTATTTGGTGGTGTGACCGGGCTGTTGCGATTTGCGACGTCTGTGGTTCCGCTGCTGGCCATAAACACCGGCAAAGTGTCTACACCCAAGTCAGCTGGAAAAGAAAAGACTGGTATTAGACAGCCGCCAGGTTAAATTACTGAGCATAGAACGTGCACAAAGTATTTTGTACAGAAAAGCAGAAGAATTAATGCCTCCATTGCATACATCCTTCTAGATTAACCCATTTTCCGCTTTATTTTCATCATTTTCTCATATGTTAAATAGGAACAAATAAAAGGTTTAATGTGCACCCACAAAAGTCAATTTACAGAAAACCTAGGAGGTCTGAGGGTCTCATTTTTCTTAGAGTGAAAATATATCTCTCTTTTGAATTTACATAATAGCATTTCCTTCTGGGAACTGGTCCTCATATTTTACAGTCTTGAAAATTATTCCTTTTCTAAGCATTTATGCCACATTTCTACTCTAGTTTCTTCAAGCAACAGAATAGTAGCTCAAAACTCCTCTGGGGTTACAGCTTTCTTAGCTAACTTGCAAGGTCACTGTTTAATGATGTAACCTATGTCGAAGGTCATTTTTCTCAACCTATTCAGAACCTATTGTGTTCTGAACGCCTAGAAAAATCAAACCTCTGTTTGCATGTGTGAAGATGCTTGACCTGGGCTTCGTGTTCATATTAAACAGAAATGCTGAAGAAATGGTTTCACTGCTCAAGAACATGCCCACATAAAACTATTACTTGCAGGCCCTCCCTGGTGGTGCAATGGGTTAAGTACAGAACTATGGAGCAATCTACAGCTCCTGTAGCATGAGTTTGATTCCCAGCCGGAGAGGTGACCCACATGGCGCAGCAGACCTCTCCTGTCTCACCCATTAAGCAATGTATTTCAGTGGATCTGCCTGTTCTTCTCCCAACTCTCTCTGGTGAATCCTCTCACCCCCCAAAACTCTGGCCTATACCCTAGTTCTTGTGTGCATAAATAAATAAATCTTTCATAAAACAAAAACAAAAACGATTACTTGCGTGGAATTCTTGGCTACAGACCTGTAAAAGTTTGAATACATTCAATGGAATTAAAATACCAAGTTAGCTGGCTGCAATCACCATGTACCCTTGTGCTACTCCTAGAGAACTACCTGACAGTTGCATTTATCTGAAATATTGTTCACACCATCAGTGATTTATTCCTTGTATTTCTTGCTACGACAAAAGAAAGGTTTCTGAGAGTTGAAAGGAATAAAATTCATCAGCAGCAATTCTTAAGGTTTCACATTTCTCTGTTTACGAGGAATGGCTTCTTTCTTATCTGATCTTTTCTGCTGCATAGAGTCTGTGGGGGTAGAGAGAGAGAGAGAGAGAGAGAGAGAGAGTGTGTATGTAGTTTCTAACATTCCTAAAATATATTGCGACAACCCCTTTTCTCCCCCCAGGCAAAACAGGGACCTCCACAGGAGAGGAAGGCAAGAAGCTTCCCTGTTTGGGAGCTTAGAGACATCTCTCTCTGCCATGAAATACTCAGGGTGGGCTATTTTTGAAGTGTCACCCACTCAACTCTAAAGTCTGCTCCTTCTAGGAAGCTAGACCCACCGCATACTCTATCCATACCCATGTACATCTGTGCCGCTCACAGATATGTCACAGAACGACCATGTGACCCACAGAGGCTGTAGGGGCTGTAACCCAAAGTGGTTAGAACTGGGTTCCCATTCTTGAGCATTATTATATATTATAAGGATTCCTGCTTACCTAGCTCTCCATCCCAGCACTTAGGCCTCACTTCACTGGAACAGAGGATCTAATGTGTTGCTCCCTTTGAAATAAGTTCGACAACTAAATTTTTAGACTTGCTTTTTATACTATTTTGGCTACTATCACCATTTTAAGGCAAATGGATGCCTCAATTTGTAATTCCTCTCGGACAAAATGGATGGATAAAAAGGTGATTCAGTTAAGTGAAATAAGTCAGAAAGAAAGATAGACATTAGGTGTTTTCACTCATCTGTGGAATATAAATAACCAAAGAACACACACAGGCAAAATGAAACAGGAATAAATCTTGAACTCAGTGAAAAAATATAGTGGCTACCAGAGGGAGCAGGGAGAAGGGGATGAGTGTGGCCTGGTGGGGATGACTGGGACATAAACACATATGGAAGAGCAAAAGTGTAACCCCAAACTTACAATTAAATAAAAAGTAAAAACAATGATAAATCAACCTTACTCAAGAGTAGCATTTAATATGAGAAGGGCCTCCCTTGAGCCCACATACAGTTTTCCCTGAGACATCTGCCCATAATATAAGCACAACAAGAAATTATATTTAGATTCCTGGATATGGAGAGTGACGTTATTATGAGAAAACTGGGAATCTGTTGGCTTTTCATAGAGCCTGGCAACAAATCTCTATAAAGCTGTTTTACCAAGCTAGATATGAGATTCTAGTGTTGTTATTAGGGAGAAATTTTTACTTACTCTGTTTATAACCATAAACATTTTCAGAAAGAATACCATCAAAATTTCTAGATACCTTAATATTTAAGTAGCCTTTATTTTCTGGGTGTGACAGAAATTTTCAGCTATGTCCTCAACAGCCAGCCTCTGGATCCATCACCCTCCCTATGCTCTTTATACTCCTCTGCTTGCTAGAAATCACAGGGAGGATGGAGAGGTGGTTGAGCTAGAATAATGGAATGAGCCAATACCAACTATATGCCATTTTTATTGATCAAAGCCTGAACAGAGTTTGAGTATAACTTTGCTATCAAATGACGGTATCATCTGGAAACAAAATAAAAGGATTAGTTCTAGGACTAAGGCAGTCAAGTTAATCCGCTGAAGCACATATTTGCCTTCATCAGCTAGGGTGGGCTCAACATCTATGAATAGACAGATGTTGGCAAATTCCAGTAAGAACAAGGTGGCAGGAACAAAGTCCCCACAAGAAGGAGGCAGTGCCTGTGAGGATAAGCGCACAGGACATAGGCCTGAGTGACGAGGCTCAAGCTCAGTCTGGGCTACTTACTAGCTGTGGGGGGTCGGCCACCTGGCTTGCAGCATCCTGGTCTGAAACATGGGGACACGAGTAGCAGCTGGTTGCTGTGAGGATCAACAAGACATGATGCAGGGCATCCAGCAAGGGCACACGCAGTGTGAGCGG